CTATGAATGACATTAAGAAACTAGGAAATGAGAATATTGCTCTTACTAAAACCATTTCATTGCTTAGGAATGAGATTGAATCTCTCTCAAAACAAGATGAGGTTTTAGTTAAAGAGAATGCCTCTTTAAATGGTGAGATTGTTTCTTTAAAGAATGAGGAGTCTAATAATGCTTTGAAAAAGGAAAATGAGGATTTAAAGAAAGGAAATGAAGATTTAAAGAAGGAAAATGAGGTTTTAAAGAGAAAAGCTTGTAATCTTGAGAATGTGATTTCCAAATTTACCTTGAGTAAAGAAAAATTTGATTCTATCTTAAAACCTCAAAGAAGTATTTATGACAAAGGGGGCATTGGATTTGATTATTCTAAAAAGCAAAAGACTTTTAAAAATTCTTTTGTAAGAGTAAGTCAATCCTCTCATCCTAATGTTACTTGTTATTGTTGTGGTGCAAAGGGACACTTTGCCTATGTATGTCCTTTGAAGAGATTGATAGCTCAAGGTAAAGTGAAGCAAATTTGAGTTCCAAAAGGAACTTTAAGCACTAACCCTCATGGACCCAAGCAAATTTGGGTACCAAAAATTAAAACTTAATTTTGTTTTGTAGGTAAAGTTGATGGCAAAGTCAAAAGAAGAGTAAAGTTGATCTTGATAAAGACTTATGCCTCAACAAGAATGTTGGAGTGAAAGTGCAAAGAAAATTTGTTTTTGAATGCTCCACTCATGTGCTCAAATTGGTATTATTTATTTTATTGCATTTATTCATTGAGTATAATAACTTCAACATGACTATTAATGATTTGTTTATGTGTGTTCACTCTTTGATATATATGCTTGTTGAATATGATATCATTTGATGTGATTATTAAAATTTATGCAAATTAGTGAGCTGGGCATGTTAGATCCTAGTGCTTGATATGGCTTTTGAAATTAATGTATTTGCTTATTAGAATTTATGCATATTGATGACCTTAGTACGTATACCTTGATTATAATCATGTTATTTAATGATGCACACATTGATATATGACTAAAATTGCATGATTTAATAGTTGATGTCCAATTTAAACTTGGTGAAATGAAGGAATATCAAATTAGGTGCATTTTCTTCAAAACAGTCCCAAACCTTTTATTTGTACCAATCAAGGCCAGTAGAGCTGGCTGCACCTTCTTGACAGCCGGCTCACCCAAAATCCCAAGAGTTTTCTCTCTCTAAGATTGAGCCAGCTCCAAGACTAAAGCCGGCTCTCTGTCAGTCTTTAAATCTTTCGGGCTTCTCTCTCTTCGAACCAGATCTGTTATTTTCTCAACCAGCAGGCAAATCCGACCCAAACTCGGTCACTTGTGTTATCATGCTTTGTGAATGGTAATGGCATCACTTGTGTTATCATGCTTAATGGTCATCTATGATTTTGATGATTGTATGCTCTTATTGAGAGGGAGCATTTTATGCTTAAATTACTCTTCTTAATGGTTATCATACTTAAATGCTTTAAAGATGATGTGCATGAATTAAGGGGGAGTTTGTTGATTATGTGCTTTTTGATGAATGAATGAAAGGGGGAGAGAATATGCTAAATGTAATGTCATTTTCTAGAGTATCTTTGTGCTGAAATTCTGGTTAATATTGAAGTATATATGTGCTTTCATTAATTAATTGTCAAAGTGTTTTGTCATCATCAAAAAGGGGGAGATTGTTGTACCTATGATTTTGATGATTACAAAATACATTTGAGTAACTAATTGGTTTATTTAAGTGTATAGTTAAGTTGCTAAAAGATTGTAAGTAAACTTGGACTGCACTTAAAAATGGACCAGAAAGGCTTGAGTATGTGCAGAGAACCGGCTCTTGAAAGCTGCAACCGGCTATGGTGAAATGGAGGTGCAGAGAGCCAGCTCTAGAAGCTGTAGCCGGCGAGCCGACTCTATGGGTAAAGATTTAAAGGTCCATTGTTTGGCGCGGGTGGAGAAAACACGTAGAGCCAGCTCTAACTTTGCAGCTGGCTGTAAGGGTGCATTTAATGCATGACAGTCAACTTATTTTGAAGAATAATTAATATTGTTAAAGTCGGAATACCAAAGCCGGCTCTGGGCTTTGCAACCGATTGTGGAAGAAAACAAAATGTGCAAGAAACCTACAAAGCTGGCTTTGTGTTTTGAAGCTGGCTTGACAGAGAAAACAGAATGTGCAGAATCCCGCAAAGCTAGCTGCAGAAATAGTGAGCCGGCTGTGCAGACCCGACTTTATGAAGTTAAGCCAGCTCTCCTAACCCGAGCTTCGCGTCTTGCAGAGCATTTAATAACCCCCAATGGCTAGAAACGGCTATTTTCAAGTAAGGGGCTATAAATATGGTTGGTAGAAGATCTGAAGGAAGTTTAGAGAGCATTGTATTGAATATATTTACCTACCTACATGAGCTTTAACTTGAGTTTTTGATCTTTGAGAGATCTTTACTTGTAATCCTCTTCTTGTTCTATTTGTGAGTGATCTTGGGGGTGTGATTAATCCTTCAAGAGTGATTTGTAGAGAGGATTTTTGGGGTTTAAGTGTAAAGGGGTGAGATTTGAGAGAAACACCCTTCTTCTTGTAAAAGGATTGAGTGGCTCCTTTAAGCCACCCTTATTGTTGTTAGTGGAGAGTATGGAGGAAATCCTTGGTGAGTGAAGCCAAGGTAGAGGACTAGGTTCCAAGTGGTTGGAACGAACCTCTATAAAATCATTGAGTAAGCTCTTATTCTCTACTCTCCTTATTTTTGGTTTTGTGGTTACAAAAAGGGGAGAATTTTTGGAACTCTAATTCACCCCCCCTCTTGGAGTACATTGAGTCAACACCAAGCACCTATACATTAAACATTTTAAATTTAGTAATAATTAATATTTAATTAAAATTTTGAGAAATTAATATATAATAATTTGTTATCATGTTTTCAAACCATCGGACAAAACTATTTCTTCACGCTCTTTGTAGTTGTTCAAAAGTCATATTTGCACGGTTTAAATACCATTTTGGTCCCTCAACTTTCTACTGTAGCACCAAAATTGTCCTTCAACTTTAAAAAGTACCAAAATTATCTTTAAACTTTCATTTTCGGTACCAAAACAATCATTCCGTCAGTTAAATGACAGGTGTCACATTAACTTTCTAGCAAATCAATTCTTTTTTTTTTTTCTTAACTAATGACGCGGAAAAAAAAACATAGTTGGCCTATAATTTGGCATTTTTATTTAATTTAAACTTACCTTTACGAAACCAAATCTAGGATTTGGGTTTCTCTCTCAAATTTCATCTTCTTCCTCTTTTCTTCCTCCCTGCTCATCCTTCTTCTTTCTTCTTCTTATTCTTTCTCTCTTTCTCTCTTCTCCCTTCCTTTTTTGAGTTCTCTATTTGCAACAAACAATGGCAAGAGGTTCTTCACAATCCCAAGCCTCTTCCTCATCCACCTTAAGGCCTGGCGTCATGGCCCTTGCGCGGCTCTACAGCCACAATGGTTGGTATGCGTTGTTGCAAGCTCACTGTAGGCGTGGCCGCGTCTGGATCTGGCTCTGTCAACTCTAGCTCTGGCAGTAACATGTTGGGCTTTTATATTGATGATGCCTCCAGCTTGAAGACCTCTCCCACCGTTGTCCTTATCATGAGTCTCTGCTTCATCGGCTTTGTCACCATTCTTCTTGTTTTTGGCAAGCTCTATCACTCCAAATCTGGAGCCAGAGCAGTCTTGAACACTAGTCTTGTTTTCGATCTCTGATCGATTAGTCAATTGGTAACCGAATCCTACGTTCCTCATTTTTTTAGTCATGTTTCAATTTTAGCTCTGTAAATGATGGCGAGATCGTAGTATCTAATGTTTTTCTTATGGATTTTTAACTTCTTGTATGTTTTTTCTTTTCGAAATAGATGGATGAGTTTTTCTGCCTTTTCATATCGCCTTTTTCTTTCTTCCACTGTTTCTTTAGTGTTGAAATGCTGGACATGTCAATTCAGTTTCTACTAAGGATTCTCAAACAATTATTCAGATCTCCAATTTCTTTTTGTGCAACAGTGGTTAGTAGTTAATTGCTACACGCCAATTTTGTTCTCACTTCTAATGGTTACAGTTTAGATCCTTTAGCTTCTGTATGGATTTGCATTTCTTTTTTTCTGACAAATTGTTTGCTTTAGTTTTATTGTTTGAGTGATTTGTGCTTGAAGGTTTTTTTGGATTATCATTTTGTATAGAAAATAAACACGACATGACTGAGAAAAACCCAGATCTGGGTTTGAGAGAGGAAATAGAAGGGAAGAGAGAGAGAAAGAGAGAAAGAATAAGAAGAAAGAAGAAGGATGAGCAGGGAAAGGAACGAGGAAAGGAGGAAGAAGATGAAGTTTGAGAGAGAACCTAGATCCTAGATTTGGGTTTACAGAGGTAAGGGAAAAGGAAAGGTAAAAGAGAGAGAAAGTGAAAGAGGAAGAAGAGATGATGTGGATGAAAAAAAAATATCATTATTTTAAAATTAAATAAAAATGTCATCTCATAGGCCAACTATGTTTTTTTTTCCACATCATTAGTTAAGAAAAAAAAAAAAAAGAATTGATTTGCTAGCAAGTTAACGTGACACCTAGCATTTAATTGACGAAAGGACTGTTTTGGTACTGAAAATGAAAGTTTAAGGACAATTTTGGTACTTTTTAAAGTTGAAGGACAATTTTGATGCCAAAGTGAAAAGTTGAGGGACCAAAATGGTATTTAAACATATTTGCACTAACTTCTTCATCAAATTAACTTAAAAACAATATTTATTTATTAATTAAGACTTTATGGAAATCATATTGGCTATTATATTCTAAGAAGGAGTAAAACTTACATTACCTGTACATCAACCTCCTTACAATTCAACAACTCATAAAGTTCAGCTGAATCTTTCTTCTCTAATGTTAAACATCGTGTACATGATTGACCAAGGCAACAAAACATGAATAACTAACCTAGGACATAGCTCCCAATACTGCTATAGTTTCTTAGCAGCTGATTCCAACTTGTCTAAACATCATCCCCAAAATAACGAGAGCAGAAGTGAGTTATCTCATATAATATAAATGCCTAAACAGTTGATGCCTCTACATGATTTTTATTCCCTATGGTCCTCTTAAGTTTGCACATGCACCTGAAAGAGAATATTGATAAAATTAATTTAAAAAATAATCAATAGTTAATTATATTAATTTTAATTTCTTTGAATGTTTTACGTTTCAAATGGGTACATCCAACGAAATTGAATAGGACCACCAACTCTGGCCTTATATGGAAGATGAATTGCAAGGTGCTCCATAAAATCGAAGAATTTCAAGGGGAATATTATTTTTAATTTACAAATTGTTTCAACATTCTTTGCCTCCCACTCTTAGATCTCATTAGGTCTAATGATCGAGGAACAAAGTGAATGAAAAAAGTTACTAATGTCAGTCAAAGGACCCTAAACAATAGATGGCAATAAACCACAAAAGGTAACTAGAATTAGTCATTGCATGAAAACATAACAATTATGACTTTTCATCCCGAATAACCTAGACTCATACAAGTTGACACATCTTGGTATGTTAGAAGCATATTCATCTAGGAAGCGGAGCTGTGTCAACCATGCACATAGAAGCTTCTTTTTTTCTTCTTAGGTAAGTGCATAAGTGGCATTGGGCTTCACAAGCTTACCATATATATCATATCCCATGTGTAATTCTTCTCGATCACAATAAATGGCTAAATCCAATCTTGCTTTCGCATTGTCTTTTGTCATATTGTCATCCATAACAATGTGCATTATATTGTCAAAGAAATCCTTCTCACTATATTAAATCAAGATTATGTCTAATAAGATTATCCTGCAAGTAAGGAAGTTTCAAAAAAATGCACTTTTTCACCTAATTGTGGGTGCTTCCAAAACCCTCAATTGTTTGGTTTTCAAAGGGTTTCCTAAACAACACATCGGGAAGGTTTTCAACTCAACAACGCATTGAAACACTATCCAATCAAGGAGAAGGACTGCTAAATTCAACCTGACCCTTCAAAAAATTAGTCTAATCAAATCTAAAAGGATGTGATTAGGTAAAAGCTAACAATGTTAGTAAAAAGAAGATGGTTTACGAGCATGTTAAAGATAAAAAGATCATGTCATCTCCATACAGTAAGGACAAGACAACTGGCCATGCATGCTCCAACCAAACACTATACCGCAACCTAGAAAATCAGTTATGATCCACATCCACATAGCAGGCATTATGAAGTTTTGCTTACGATAACTATCATATGTTTTCACACCAGTCGACCATAACATTTTCGAGTCTTTAATTAAAGGTCGAAGGAATACATCAATATTTCTACCTAGGCTTTTTGGACTTATAATGACCAATGTAAGAAATGTAAACTCTGGTCGCATGCACATCTCCGGTGGCAAGTTATGAACAATTAAAAAAACTAGCCAATAAAAGTAGGGGGTTGAAGAATGAACCCAGTGGTTAAAACCATCAGTGGCAAGACCTAATTGAACATTACAGCATTCTGTTTTAAAAAAAGGATGCATTCGATCAAAAAGTCTCGAAGCTTCTGATCGTGCTGGATGAATGACCTCTTCTATATCACCATAACATTTTAAATGCCATGTCATGTGCTCAGCTATTTTTGGAGACATGTATAACCTTTGAAGACGAGGTATTATTGACAAGTACTAAAGAGAATTCCTCGAAATGTCCTTTTGTCTTTTCCTCCCAAGATTTCTCTCTTTGTGCCTCACTTTTCCATAAATTAGACATGTGGTCAACGTCTTTGTAGACTTCCCATAGTATAAAAAGCAATTATTAACAAAAGCATTAATTTTTAAATAGCCTAACCCAAGCCCTTTCATAATTTTTTTTACTTTAAAAGTTTACAGGAACCTTTCTTGATCTTTAGCACTTAATAGCCTCCTACATCCTTTGATGATGGCATCAAAACCACCACCAGTTATATTATTTGCAGTCTTAGTGTGAAATATATAAAAGAGCCAATTGAGCATTGTCTCATTTCTATTGGAATTACCAAGTGGTATTGTAGATGCATGAAGCAAGTCATAAAGTGCCTTCGCTTGATTGTTCAATTCCTCATCTAGATGATGATTGGGGAAATTGCTTTCATTTCTTAATAATCATCATTTTCTGGACAAAATGCATCATACACCATTTCATGGAAGTCATTCCTTTCATCATGGTATGTATCTTGGTTGTGCAATGATTTACCAAAATTAGCAGCAAACCATGGATCTGTTGAATTCATAAATGTTTCACCATGTGGCCACCAAACAGAATAAGCATTCATAAAACCATTTTACATAAGATGATCCCATACCATTTCCTGAGTCATCAACGGTAAATTCAAGCATTTACTACAGGGACATTTGATTGAATCATTTGGTCCAAGACCAAGGCTATCTATGCAAATTGAAGAAAATATTGAACTCCATCATAGGATTCCCCATATATTTCCCCTCAAGGAGTTCGACATTTATACATCCAACTATAATCATCCATAATCTTATTAAATTAATAAAACAAAAATAATAACATGATTAGTTTCAAAATAATTATAGTATCTTTCAAATATTTTAGAGTTTACTAAGCTAATATATATAAACATGTGAAATTTATTATTCAACAAAATTTATCATAAACAAATTATTGAATTTTTATTTAACAAAAAAATAAATATTTAACCATAAAATTATAACAAAATAGCAAAAAATAAAAATTATTGTGCAATTAGGTCTACAAGACAAAATATTAACCTACAAAATAATTATTAAAATATTAATTTATATCTTTTAACCAAAAAATTTAGTTTTATATATCATTAAATTATAGAAATTGCATTTAATATTAACATAATAAAACTTAAAACAGATATAATAACAAAATAAGACCGATTATTATATTGTTAGAATTTCATAAACAAATTACCAAAAAATTCTTCACAAACTATATCAGTATAATGAAAATAAAACTTAACATATAATGAGGATCAATGAGAATCTACAAGCTAAAATATTAACCTACAAAATAGTTATTAAATTATTAAATTATATTTTTTTAACAAAAAATATTTATATATACTATGAAATTATAGAAATTACATTTAAAGTTAACATAATACAATTTAAAATAGATACAATAACAAAATAAATTCAATTATTATATTACTAGAATTTTACCATTAATCACCATAATTTCACCAGAACATTACCAAAATATTGACAAATATTTATAAAATTTACCCAAAACATCAAATGCGGCAATGGTTTTTTTTTTTTTTTTTCTTTTATAAGTCAAAATGTATTAATATGGAGTAGAAGAGGTACTTCTACTCATAAACAAATTTTATATTAAAGTTGTTTTCTTATATAAAGAACCTAATCCTACAAATACATAAATTAAACAATAAAATCTAAAGAAAGATTAGATACTAGAGCCATCTAATGGAAAGCTCGGGATTTTGGCAATGCTAATATCAAATAATTATTATAAAACTGAAACTTCACCATTAATTACCAAATTTTCAACAAAAAATTGCTAAAAAGTTATTAACAAACATCTATATATAAGTTATCCAAAACAATAAATTTGATAATGCAAATATCAAATGAACAAATCACAATATTTTATAGTTTAAATTCTAAAAAAAATACAAAATATGCATAAAATATTTAGATTCAATGCAAAAACATACAAAAAACAGTAATATTACATAAATCTCACTCATCGTTGCCTGATCTACTCATTGTGATGAGAAGAAAAATGTTAAAGTGATTCGAATGGAGTGGAGGAAAGGAAGCTACTATCATAAGAGGAAGACAAAAATGAAAGGGAACTCCACCAAGTGGCCTAATGATCGCGCGCCTCATTAAGGCCGGTGGGCTGTTCACCAGATTTAGGGATGGAATCGCCAATTACTAACATCTAATAATACTAACCTATTAACCATTGCCCTTATCAAAAAAAAAAAAAAATAAAGGGGAAAGGGGGGTTTCAACAGGGTAAATGAGCCAGGGTCAGTCTTACCGACAAGGTTCACATTGTAAACTGAAAAGCTGTTCACCTCTTGTACTGCATCAGACTTCTGCTTGACTAGCCCAATCACTGAGAAGACAATGGTTGTAAAAATACTATTCCCGACGTGAATGTTGTTAGTAAACAGAGGAAAAAGCTGCAACACCTGTTGAAGCCTGACTGCAGCAGTAAAGGGAGGTTACCAACGAACCTCTTGTTGGCATTAAGAAAGTTTACCGATGTGAAGTTCATTAGCCATAGAATTTTCTGCTGACTAGACTGAAAAATTGCCGAAGTGGATTTTACTGAGAAGTTTGCAACTTACCAACAAGATTATTGTTGCAAGAGCTCATAGTTATTGATGAGAGCTTCGTCGGTCCTTAAACTCTCTACTCACTGCACTGAAAAAGCTGTTGGAGCTGATGGAGTGAATATTCATGAATAATACCAACAAAAAACACATGTGCATGGGATGAATTTACCGACGAAATGCTCCTCTAAAATTTAAATAATATAAATTAATTTTAATCTTACTATTTTTAACTGTGCATACATGTTCTTTGTTGATAAAGCATTTGTTAATCGACAAATATTCTCACGTTGATAATATTTTGGTAGGTGATATTAGGCTTTTTAATAGTAAAATAAAAAAACTGATTAAATTAGTTTGATTTGTAGTTTTGTTTTATAATCAATATTAAAAGAATTAATTTACAAAGAAAAAGATTTTTCTTAATTCTTACATTTTCACCATTTATTCATTCCAACCCAAAAATTTTATTATATGATATTCCTATTATTACAAATTTATTTAGTTTTGTTTTTATTTTTCTATAATTAAAATTCATAAAAGGAAGAGCAATATAATTAAACTCCCAAAAATAATTTTTTTTTCTTTGGGACAAAACTAATTAATCTCATTTGAACTAATCGATCCAATTATAGTTGATTGATTTGGTTGTAATATATTAACTAGATTGGATTGATTTACCATTTCTTCAATTCAATTAAATTGGATTTGATAAAAAAAAAAAAAGTCAAAACCACAAATACCCCTACTACAAAGAGGTTGTGTCACACCCCAGAACCCAAATCCAGAAACGTGACAGATGTCGTGCACTCATGAACGAGTCCCACGAATGCACAAGGCTCGAAACTTATCTAATTCACATCTGATAATCCAATAACTCAAATCAGTTATCTCAAAATAATTCTAAGTCCAACATGACTTAAGCTCAAAATCTTAAGGTCAAATATCTTGTAAACCAACAATCCACTAAATGAAGTTATAAAATCTCCAATTACAATCTAACTTACAATATCATCATTTATATCTAAAATCCATATTCAATTTACAAGATGGCTAGCCTTCTAACTCGTCACT